AGAGTAAAACCCAGAGCGGATCAGACTTCCATGGGATCCGAACTCACAGAGTAAAACTTGGAAAAGAACAGACTTCCACGGGATCCTGACTCTTAGCCTAAAACTTGGAACGCATAAGACTTTCAAGGGATCCGGACTGGTATAGTGAAAATCAGAGCGGATCAGACTTTCACGGGATCCTGACTGGTAGTGTAAATCCCGGAAAGGATCAGAATTCCAAGGGATCTGGAAACTTAGTGTAAAACCAAGAGCGGATCAGACTTCCATGGGATCAATACTGGTAGATTAAATCCTGAAACGGATCAGACTTCCATGAGAACCAGAATCGTAGAGTTAAACTTGGAGTAGATCAAACTTCCTTGGGATCTGGACTGGTAGAGTAAAACCCAGACCGGATCAGACTTCTAAGTGATCTGGACTGATAGAGGTAAGATGGGTTGTCCACTAGCATTTCCGCTAACTATATCTGACGTTCTCTGTGCATGGGATTTTGACATGTTCTCCAAACCAAGATGTATGAGTGGGAAACAATCAAGACCATAAATCAAAGCTCTTCCAAATGAGAGAGATTCAATAATTCTTGGTTACAACTTTAGATCCAACTGATTCAGTTTTGGGATACAATTAACATGCCGTACACCACTATCCAGGCCCCAGAGAGTTTCCCCCCAAAAAATTAACATAAGTGCAAAAACCCGACCCGACCCATCCTAAACCCAACTTGGGTCGCAATATCCAGCGCTGAACTTAAAACTTGTCTAATTAGAGTGTGAATAATAACCCAAACCCTACCTTGGGTGTCAACTGAGCATTTTCGCAATCTCTATGGAATCTTCTCTGTGCATAGGATTTTGATATGTTCCCCAAAGAAAAATTATGATTGCCAAACAATCAAGACTATTGATCAAAGCTCTGGCAAGTGAAACAGATTCATTAATGATTCATTACAACTTTAGATCTGACCGACAGTGTTGAGGTACAATTACAGCGCCATTTACCACACTGTCCTGGTAGTCAGTGTATGTATAATGTACAGTGTAATGTATCAGAGCACACATGTAAATAGGCCTTTCAATGTGCTTGTGCATCTGACAAACTGAACTAAAGTGGTTATGATTTTTTTACTCTGTCTGAGGTAGAACAGTGACCTTGAAACCTGATGCTTGAAATATGCTATTTACTTGATAGCAAATATAATACTTTATATACTACCTAACCAGTATCACAGATACATGCAGGTGAAAATACTGTTGGATTAATACCTGGTCAAGACAGACCAAAGGCTATAATAAACAATACTGAAAGACATTAAGACAAATGCCAACATCTATTCAGAATTTATGTTTTATCAGTGTGTAAAAAATATTAAATTATTGTCAGACATATTACCTCAAACAGATTGGGATATATTGCAGACATCTTCAACACCTCAATGTGCATATAGGTGTACCAGTATTTGGCCTAATTAAGTCGATTTTAAGTGTTTATGTAGCTAAAAGGTTTTAAATTCTCAAATGTATTTTGATAAAAAGAACTATTTGTTTTACAGTGCAATTTTGGACCCATGCTTCATGCACCAGCACTAGCAAAGATGACAGTGGCCAGCAGCAGTGTTGAGGTGTGCTTACAGTACATGCTGACACAGCTCACTGATCTTATTCATTCATAGTAAGCAACACAGAATTTTCCCATTTTGAACAGTGTTGTGTATCTTTACAGCCAACACCCATCTCCCTTTGTTTTTCTAAGGCAGGTCTCTGATGAGTTAAGAGGAAGGACATGACTAATCAAAGGAGAAAAATATGTTATTTCCTCAAAATGTACTTTCCCTTATTCACTAAAACGTACAGTTATTACTGTTTTGTCCTTGTCTTTTAGTCATTTCAGTAGTTCACTCAAAACCCTAAACACTGTTGAGAAGAGACATGATTCAAATAGTGAGTTTTTTTATTAATTTGCCTGGTTGAGGAGTGTGACAACCTGTCCATAAGGATGGGACTTTCAGACCCACCTCCTCCTTTTCATGAAGGATTATCCAGGGAGCTACTGCAAGGGTGAAGATGGGTTGGAGGAAGAGATGTGAAAACAAAATCTGCAAGCCAGTTATATATATAGATATTGGTCAGGTGGAAGTGGATGAGAATAGGTGCTGTTATAAAAAATCTACTAACTGTGGAAAAATATCTCCCTATCCCAGTGTATTACATGTTTAACTTTGCCATATTCAAAAATCAAACCAAGTGTTTTCCACAGTAAACAAGACCTTTAACTTTTCGCAACTTTGATTTTTTGTGAAACATTTTGGTCATTTGTTGTTGTTGTTTTTTTTTTTGGGGGGGGATATGTCACGGTTTGCCATGGAATGCACTGGGATAGGGCGATGTTCTTTTACAATCAGACACTCCAACTAGGTGTTTTACACACTAAACAGACCGGGGTAAAGTTAGCTTGAAGTTCAAAAACGATTTTGGCACACTTGTAGCTTTTTCACAAAACCTTCTAGAGTTGGGAGAACACTTTGAATGTTTTCACAGTCTTCATTTTGTCGTTTTGTTTGCCATTTTTTTTTACCATGCAGGAATATTCTTATGTTCATATCTTCGCAAGGGAAACACAGAAAGCCTTCAAACTATTTGCATTTTAAAGACCTCTACTTGTGAAACTTTTCACACCCCCTACATAAACATATCAGTTACCTAATTCTTTTTTTCTGACACTCAGGGACACTCTGGGTTTTCAATGATGTGCAATTACGCACCATCTGGAACACTGGGGGACCGCTGTATACATACATGCGTTCACAACCCGAGAAATACTGCTCTAGAGAGTTTCATGTGAAAAACCTGTACTGTATATCACCATAGGAAGCAGAACTGCACAGTCTCCAATTACCCAGACTGTAAGCACAGGAATAAAGCTTTGTTTTATTTCTGAAATCCTTTCTTTATTTCCTGTTTTCATTCAGCAGGAAAATTCCTAATCTTTACTCAACAGCTTTTTAAAAACAGCACCCATGATGTTCAAATAATAATGTCCATGACTTTTTTTACACAGAAGACTGACACAGCTTTGGGTTGTGAATCTCTTTTTCTCATGGTTTTATTGAATGTGGCACCCTGCACTGGGATAGGGGGTGCTGTTCACGAGCCAATAGCATTAAAACCACAGCACCCACAAAGCTGCAACTAAGTGTTTCACACACTAAGCAGATCCTCCGACCTTTCCCAGCTTTGTTTTGGGTTGTGAAACTTTTCTTTATTTCTTAATGATTTTTTGAAGATCACACTACAGGTAATACTTTTACACACTTTGAAGGTCCCCTCACCTTATACAACCTTGCTTTGGGATGTGAAACTTTTCTGAATTTTTTTTAGGATTTTTTCAATACGGCACCATTAGAGAGGCAGTACATGGGGATGGGGGTGCTCTTCACAAGTCAATAGCTTTTGCACAACCATACTCATTATACTGTAACCAAGGGTTTTACACACTAGGCATGCCCACTGACCCATTACAACCTTGCTTTGATATGTGAAGCCTTTCTTTCAGATACCTGGCTCTTTTTTCAGATACCTGGACATGTACATTTTGCAAACCCTGGTCTGATGAGGGTATGGTATGCACAATGTCACAGTGGTAGGTTTTGCAAGCAGGAAATGTAGTGATAGATTTGAAAGGAGCAAAGCATAGTTCAGTGGAAGGACTAAGTTTATCTGCAGGAGTATTGGTTCTGTAAACTAGGGACTAGGAATCCAACACCATACAGTACAAAAAGGAAACACAGAAGTGTTTATCGATAAATCTTTTTTTAATTGTTGTATTCCTTATTACATGCATGCACAACCATTGCAATGATAGAATCAGATGCAACAGATTTGATGATAAAATATGTATGCAATTCTGTGTTATATCCAGTCATATTAAAACAAAGGGGGGAAGACCATGTCTTCAGGGATGATGTTAAAGACGTTATTGTTTTGGCATGCTGGAGACAGAAATGTTTGGATTAATTAAAACAGAAAACCATTGTGAAAGTACTCCAAGGTGTGTTTCAGTTATACAGACAGAAAAAAATGTCCCTAGGCATAATTTGCTTGCTATAAATATGTTCCTAAAAAGGAATAAAAAAGCCTTTTGATTGGATACTTTGCCCTTGAGCTGTGAAGCTTTTAGATTCTTTGGGTCCTTTATGCAGATCTCTCAACTGTAGGAGCGCCCATTATTAAATGATTAAAAAAAACTATGAGAAGGAATAAACTCACTGATTGTTTTATGTAGAGGCTGTGAAAAGTTTCACAAGTAGAGATCTTCAAAATGCGTTTGGTTTGAAGGCTTTCTGTGTTTCCCTTGCGAAGATATGGACGTAAGAGTATTCGTGCGTGATAAAAAAATGGCGTAAAAACGACATAGTGAAGGCTGTGAAAATGTGAAAATATTCACAATGTACTTTGTACACACAGCAAGTGTTTTCGTAACTACGTTTCGTGAAAACGCTACAGGCATGCCAAAATCATTTTCGAACTTCAAGCTAACTTTACGCGGTGCGCAATTGCATAAACTAACAGAATGCAATTACAGAAGGTATGAGTTGTAAAACAAAAAGTTGTAAAAAATTGACAATTCGAGATCTTTATGCTGGTGGCTTGAAGGCTCTGTATGTTGTAATCGCAATGTTATTGACATATGAAACTTCGTGTATCAAAAATAATCAGGCGTTTAACGATAAATGAATCTCTAGATCATTTTCCACTTCTGAACATCCTCTGGCTGGACAATACTAACGACAGCTATCTCGGAGAAATCCCTCTGAATCTACCTTTTTTACATCTTTACACATCTTACACGATAGAATACTCTGCCGTCCATTCATCATCAAAGTGACGGATACTACAGTATAGTCGGATATTTGAAGTTAGAGCTCATTTGGGTGTTGTCAAGCGAATGTAGGAAACTCCTCCTCCCTCCTAAAGGAATTTCCACCCTAACAGTGCCCACCAGCTTGTCCTGAATGTACTGTATTACTGAATCGGGAGAGAAAATACACAGATTCGAAAGGATGAACTGACGCTCATTCCGGGAAACACTTAAAATATTATACTTTTTATCCTTTTTTATCAATACTAAAGACAAGGTTTTACATTTCTGAAACAGGTTAATTATTGGAATATATGCGTGTAATGATTGCTTGCAGAAGGTAATTGCATCTTAATGCCGGGATTTCACCTCATTTGTGCTCGGAAATGTCATATTCATGTATTGTCATTACATTTATGGGATTTGTTTTTCAAGCACACTGGTTGACAGGTAAGAAATCCTTCGTTTCTGCTAAATATAGTGAAGTAACAGTTTAATCATTAAATATTACGTCATCTTCATAAGCCAAATACTAGATTGCACGCTAACTTTCTGAAGTGGGCTTTGGTGAAAACGCATGTACTGTAGTCATAAAACGAATTATAGAAATAATAAATGACGGTCAAATTCCTTTTGCAGGAGTTCATATATGCATAGAACGACAACAAAGTACTGAAGGTTTATAAAGACCCAGCAAATATATAACACATTCTTACATGTGTTATTACATCTTATTGTTATGAATGAAATTCGCTTGTAGAGTTTGGACAGTTCAAATGCTTATTATAAATGGAGGGGAAAAAAAGAAAATACTGCAAAATAACTGAATTTGAGACAATTTTCTTACCGTCACGTACTGAATGGGCAACCCTATTTTTTTATAATAAAAAACACAGCAACAGAAAATATATTATGTTTACTCTATTGTCCTGATCATTTTCTGAATGAAAAGTTATATTTGGTTGATACACACTTGCTTAATAATTGTTGCTTACTGTAACTGTAATTATTACAAACAAAATAATTTAAAGTAATAACTATAGCAAAATGTATTAGACATTGACGTATGCTTGTAACTATGAGTTTCTCTTTAGTTTTATCTGTGCTAGAAGTTGGTGATTACTATGCCTGGGAAAAAAAAACATTTTATAGTAAACAGCTTGCAGGACAAACTGCCCTGATTCTTACTTTTGGTGGAAAATTCCATGTGTGATCAATTTTAAAATTAAAATACACTTGGATTACATTCTTAATCCTTCAGCTGCAACTACCTTGCAGCTACAGGCTTTGGTAGAAACGAAATATCCAAATTTATTAGCAGCTGATATGAAAACAGATGACTTTATCTGTTAACTGAAAATCTATAGTAAGTGTTTCTTTTTCTGTCTAGAATCCTACTTCTGGACTGCAAGGCACTCTTGTATTAATATCAATTGATAGTACATACCAATTATTTAGATAGTATATAAATGTATGATATTGGTAGCACAGTATATAGACTATTAAATAAAGCTGACACTAGAAATATTAGGTCAGCAGAAAACATGCAAACGTATTCAGTGAAATGTTAAGTATTCCCTTAAGGATAAAAGCATCAGTTGAAGGTCTCCTTTCTCAATACACTATATCCTTTCCCCTGGTCTGTTTCACAGCAACACCAGAAAACAGGAACTCCACCTTAATTTCAGAAAATATAAAGCCATTGAGTTAACTGGAGGCCATCTGCCTGCTTTTCCTGTTTTGACAGAATTCTGACTTGCTGTTACACAAAAAATACAATGAACTGAACTTCACACAAATTATACAAAATTTGTAATTTTAAGTCTAGGTGAGATTTTATAAAGTTGAATGTTATCAATGGTATATTTTTTAAGTAAATGTCTTTAAAATATACATTGCATGTTGTAATGCTTCATTACTGTATGTAGCATTCACTTTCTGTGCAAAATAATTTAAAATGTTCTTCATATTCCTAACAGCACCTGTTGTATAATCACTTTTGTTTTCAGCAAGTACCTTGAAGTATATGCCTGATCCACCAAAACTTAGCATCTCAGATAAGGTATACAAAATAAATGCTACAGACACTTTGGAACTTACATGCAGGTAAGACACAGACTATACCAAGAATGGCTATTTAATGTAAAGAAATGTATCATACATTATTCTCATGATGTTTGGATTTAACAAATTGATTAATTTAAAATGTGTGATCAACTTTTTCAATCCATTTCAAAATACTTGGAAAGTTCTAGAATGGCCATTAACTCTGCAGATTTACTAGCAACATTCTACTCACTGAATCCTGCTGATGTTAGGATGACTTGGATAGCCTAGTGTTTGAGTACTTAACTGATCCAAAAACCACCTGCACATTTTATGTTTTATGATATGCTGCCGTATGGTACATTGATAAATAACTAATTCCTTAAAGTTTTAGAATTGTTTCTCATGTGTTGATTTTCCTTTATGCTTTTCAGGTTATCCTTAATTACTTAGTTATTAAATAATCCATCATTGGACTCCAAAAACACTTTTCAGATATGTCAATATTGATTATCAAATAGTTATGCAGTTCTTATTATTGGAGTTTAAATTAATCAACAGAGAAAATTAATAAATAAATTACAAATAATTCATCGAAGCATTGCTGCTTTGCATCACTGTGTCCCTGGGTTCAATTCCAGACCTGGGGTGCTGTCTGTATGGAATTTGTATGTTCTCTCCATGTTCACATGGGTTTCCTCCGAGTACTCCAGTTTCCTGGCAAGTTAATTGGCTTCTGGGAAAACTGGCTGTGTTGTGAGTGTGTGTATCTGTGTCTGTGTGTGCACTGTGATGGACTGGCATCCTGTCCAGTGTGTACCCCACCTTTCACAGTTGCTTTCTTAAATGGGCTCTGGCTCCCCTGCAACCCTAAATTCAAGAAAGAGGTTAGAATTCGGGTGGATGGATAATTTACCATCAATATTATTTAATCATCCAAATTGAACATGAAAATGTGCTTCAGGCATCAGTTATGAAGTTGAACCTTTTAGGGTTCCTTTTCAATTGCTTATGAAAGTTCTTCTTAGGTTTTACCTTTTTAGGTTTTGTGGTTTTATGAAAACAATAATGTGATTTTTTTAAAATAATGAAGTTAATTTTAAGTTGGCAGTTTACATACCACTGTCACTGTTGATAGTGAAAACAAATGATTCACCAGTTATCATATTTTTGAATAAAGTTGGTCTTTATAATTTCGATGCTGAATGTGGTCATGTATAGTGTTAACATTCAGTAGCAGATTGTTCAGCTGAATGTGGGTTCTGAGTTGTATATTTTGCTTTTTAAGGGGACAGCACCATTTAGAATGGACATGGCCTCGCAATGAGAGTGGGACAGAACAGGGACTATCAGTGGTGGATTGCAGTGGTTCTGGACTTTTCTGTAAGACCCTGGTGCTAGTAAAGGCAACTGCCAATGACACTGGAGAGTACAGGTGCTCCTACAGGAGCTTACCTGTCAATCAGGGAAAAACATCTGCCAGTATTTATGTCTTTGTACAAGGTAATACTTTACATTTTAAATGTAGTGTGTGACTGTGACATGTACCAACAGTAGTACTGTTCTACACTGTATTTTTTTAAATTCAGCTGTGTTATTTGGGGTTTTCTTCCAAATGCCTAACTGCATGATAATGTCATGAATGGCCTGTACAAGGAACGTTCAGATGTAAACGTTAACTAATTGGTTATTGTTAGCACTTTTTCCTTCCCAGTTTGATGTCCAAAAAGAAATTTTTGCTTTAAAAAAGTGTATTTGTTGTTTTGAAACTGAGTTCCCATGTTGGAAAAAAAGTGTTTTTGGAAAGAAATACTAGGAATAAGCCATACCTGGTCAATTTAGCCATAAAGGTCTGATTTTGTTGCCTTGAGTAATGCATTATCTAAAGAAAATAAGCAAATTATTTTAAATTCAAACCAACTTTTTGCACAACAATCGGCAGCTAGTTAACAAAATTACACAACATATGTAGTTTGTTCCATATAGTGTTTTAACCATTTTTCAAAAATTGTTAAATAATCTGCAAAGACCATAGAGTCTTATTTGATATATTACAATATTATCTAGCCTGACCTAAGGGAGACATCAATTGACACCTTAAGCTGGTCAGCAAAGCATGACATCCACATGAAAGTGATACATCATGCTGGGCTCATTCTCAGCAGAGTCTCTCCTTTTTTCCTTCCAACTGAACACAGCAAAAACCTTCCAAGCCTGGAGCACTTCCTTTTATTTTAGAAAAAGGAAATTGAAAAAATGAGAATTTCCTGATTTATTTGCAGAGTAGCCATTTCAATATTTTAGTAAATATTACTTTTGCACATGAATACTGTAGCATGAATCCCATAAAACTACTTCAATTGATATGTAAGTAATCACTTCTCAAGGCACAGGGACATAGATATTGTCATGTTTTAGGAACATTAAAGATAAGGTTTTTCTTCTGATTTTTTTTCAAATATTCATTGCAGACTACAGATCTCCATTTGTCAGCTCTTCTCCCAATTTTGAATTTGTGTTTATAAGGGAGGCCTCACCTGTTGTCATTCCCTGCTTAGGATCAATAGAGGATCTCAGTGTGACTCTTTATACAGTAAGAATCTCTTTAATTTTGTTCTTCCCATTGAGTAAAAAACACTTAAATAAATTCTCCACATTTTTTGTTTGATATTAAAATATTATATTATGTAATTGAAGCAAAGCAACATTAAAGTAAATAACATTTGGATATTATGATGGGAAGAGGTCAGAACTTCACAACTCCTTGTTTGAATTACAACAAAGCTGTTCTGAAATATTTAATTATTATTTTTTACAGAACACTAACAGCAAACAAAAACATGTCATTAAATGTTATCCCGAAACCTTGCTTTATAAACCTGCAATTTCTCATATTTTTTTCTTTTTAGAACTATCCAAGAAAAGAGTTTTTTCCTGATGGGAAAACTATTTACTGGGATAGTCGACAAGGATTCACTATTCCCAGCCGATTTATTAGCTCTGCCGGTGTTGCTTTTTGCCAGACAATCATTCAAAATGAAACATTCCAGTCCTCATTATATATATTTGCTGTTGTTGGTAAGTTTTGCCTTATTTACTTTTATGAATCCTTGACTGCTGGAACCAACATTAACGTTGGGCTTCTCTCTAGTGCAAAGGTGGCATTTTGTGGAAGAAAAGTGAGCTTTAGAAATATAATTTGGAGATCAGCTGTTTTCCCATTAAAGCCCATACTAGTGAATTCCTAACTTTGGACCCACAAAGTTAAACCCACCAACAAAATAACCAAATAAATATATACTAGTCAATATTTCTCTAGTTGTTCAATAAGAATATCTGCTTTTTAAAGTTTTCAGTTAGTTGCAAATAAAAAAATAATTTTTAACTAATGGCATTTAATTAGTCTCAAACTGACTATTTTAATTCGTTGTTATTTTAAATAATACATATTTTTCTATTAAAGATTTCAAATATATATTTGTATATTTTACGTAATTGTATTAAGTATGGTATATTCCTTTTTTTCATATTATATATGTCTTACTTTATTGTTTTGTTTAATTTTTAAATTAAACTGTTTTAGTTGGGAAAAACACTGGGAAATCACATTGTACCAAATGACCTTTTACAAATGACAAGACAGGAGCAATCTATAGTCACAGCTTCCAAATATTATTTATTTAAGGACTGAAGAAAATAGTGTGCCAAAGTATCCTATTGTGTGCTCCCTTCCCTTCCTGCAGGATACAGAATTCATGAGCTCTCTCTGACCCCTAAGTATCAAGTAAAGCTAGCAGTGGGAGAAAAGCTTTTGCTAAATTGCACTGCTACAACAGAGCTAAATGTAGGGATTGACTTTCAGTGGAAATACCCAGCTTGGAAGGTACGTACTGTATGTTGACATCTTACTGAGGCACATTTTAAAAAACTGAAACAAAATGCAAACAGATCAAAGTTTTTAGGATAACAATATAATACAAATATATAATAACAATATAACAATATAATAAAAGAGTGTTGGTGCAAGACAAAAAGTGAAAAAATATTAAAGGAACAAAACCATCTGAAATGTCTGTTGGTTATTATCAAATATCCAATTTAAAAAATAAGTAACCACAATGGAGGTGTGTCTTGAACATTTCTTCTGCTTAATTCTGAGATCTGTTTGAACCATAATTTGAATATACAGTATATGTTTCTGATTTTCCCAGATTAAAAATGAAAAGTTTGTGTATTTTCTGCTGGATCTTCGGAATGGATAACTTATATCCTATAAACTACTCTGTATTACAGGAAAACCGTTCAGAAATAAAGCCCTACAAGAAAAAACTCAGGGATTGCCTGGAACTTTCAAGTACTTTGATTATTGAACATGTAACACTGAATGATACAGGCGAATATATTTGTACAGCTTCCAGTGGAGCTATGAAAAAAACAGAAAGAGTTAGTCTGATTGTTTATGGTAAGTATTAGAGAACGATTCAAATTTACCTTATTGTCCCATGTAAACTGTTGGGGTTTGTGTGCATTCTAAATACAACAACCCACAAGAAAAAAAACGTAATGATTAAAAATGTGAAATTAACAATGATTAAATACTAAATATGGAACAATAATATTTAGTTGTTTGTTTTGCTATTTTTACTCTAGAAAAACCTTTTATTTCCATTGATGAGAATTCACGTTCTGTCTTCGAAGCAAATTTAGGAGATCGATTTACTAATATTCCTGTCAACTTTCAAGCATATCCCCAACCAGAAGTGAAATGGTAAGAAGCTATTATATAAAATTTCAATATAAAATTAAGAAAAAAATAAAATATCTTCTCCATATTTCTATGCATACTTTTTTTAAAATGTCCTTTTTTATGCCTTAGGTTCAAGAATGGAGTGCCAGTTAACAGAGATGAGTCTCGATACAGAATTAAAGCTGGTAACACACTGACTATTCATGATGTATCTGAAAGGGATGCTGGCAATTACACTGTTGTACTGAGAAATCCAACAACGAAGGAGCAGCAGAGACATATATACCAGCTGCTGGTGAATGGTATGTGCTCTGATCAGTGTCCTTGTAGGTGAACATGATTGGTAAGATATTGAACAATTTGAGAGAGAGATTAATTTGTCATTTTTGTGTATAACATTTCTAGTGCTGCAGCCAAAAATTTAAATACAATATAATCTCATGTGATATACAAAACAAAGCTACACACTACTTCTTTTACAAATGAACATAAGAGAGATTTACACCCACTAGGTAAGAACGTTGAGAGTGAAATTCTTTATCCTCTAGGGAGTTGTCCTATCTCTATCTCTCCCCTCTCACTATGTTCCTGAATCTGTTGCAATAGTGATGTTACCATACCAACAGATAAGACCTTAAGATACTTTCAATAGATAATTTGTAGAAATTGTTAAAATAGTTCTCTCCAACTACTTATAAGTTCCGCTTCCTTACAAAGATCTCTGCTGGCCTTTTTAATAAATGCTCTCACCATATTTGGCACATTTTAATTTTTATCTATGACCAATTCCAAATACATGTAATTATTGTTAACCTCTACAGTCTGACAGTCTTATTGCAGTGGGTTGGAAGGGGACAGCATTTTTCCTAAAATTAACAAAGAGCTTTTTTGTTAACATTTAGTTTACAATGAGGCTGTGCTATTTAATAAACTTACCAAAGCTGTCATCAGCAATCATGAGAAGTCTTTCTGTGTTTGCTCTAACAATCACTGCTTTAAAATGTACAATAATAGAGAAAAGACAACCCCGTAGTGACTCAATATAACTAAAAACTGTGTGAACCTGAAGATTACATGAAGCACCTTGGCTGAAAAGGATACGATAACACAGTAACATTGACCTCATGTCCATCTCAGTTCCTCCACAGATTTACGAGAAGGAGGTGGCCCACGGCAGTGACATCTACATGTATGGCAGCAGCCCAGCTCTTAGGTGCACAGTCCGTGGGTACCCCCCACCCATAGAGATTCTGTGGCAATGGGCACTGCAGGGGGACTGTCCCTTAAACTATACGTGAGTAATGCATGAGCTAGTCACATGTCACAAAACACTCACGGTCTCAATCTGTATTCTTAGCTGATATGTGCCACAAGGAGATCCCTAGACATTGCAGTGTTTGCCCAGGCAAACCTGGCAGCAAAACCACCCAGTGCTGTCACATTACTTCATACACATAATTGTCAGTTTTGCCCTAAAGTGTATAAGTGATGTGAGTCTACAAAAGACTGTTTTTTGTCTTTGCAGTGTTTGAATTTTGTGGTTAAATCAGCATTATAATAATTTCTGATTAATGCACTGGTTTCGGAAGTGTATTCCCCATTCTAGATTTTTTCTAAAAAATAATATGATTGTTTTCATGGAGACTACTAATTTTAATAATTTCTTTGTATTATTAATGAAATAAAATAGTAAAAAAGTACTCTCCATCCTAATAACAAACTAAAACATGTTGTAATACATTCTTTGTTTTTACTGTAATATTACTGCACTATGACCCTATTCTGTCTGTGATACAAAACAATCTGTAATTATTAGAAAAATATTAGCAAGAAAAAGAGTAAATGTCAAATAAACCCCCCAAAAAACAGTAGTTTTCCTTCACATTAAATAAAAAGTGACCGGAAGGTTGCCGGTTCAAATCCCGCGGCTGGCAGAGGAATCCTACTCCGTTGGGCCCCTGAGCAAGGCCCTTAACCCCAACTGCTCCAGGGGCGCCGTACAATGGCAGACCCTGCACTCTGACCCCAAGCTTCTCTCCCTGTCTCTGTGTCTGTGTCTCCCTGGAGAAAAAAGCTGGGGTATGCGAAAAGACGCATTCCTAATGCAAGAAATTGTATAGGGCTAATAAAGAAACATTATTATTATTATTAAAAGAAAAAATGATATATGTAAGCTTAAATATTCATCATATTGTGTTAGCATCAGACGATATTCTTTGTTTTGCTTGCACACTGATTGACTACACAGTGTAGTGGTTATCTCTGTGGCCATCCCAGCGGAAAGGCTCTGATTAATGCACTTATTGAAAGACAGATCCTTTGCAGAAGGCCCATGAGGAGAGCCTTATCTTGGCCCAACACTTGGCGCGGCTTCCTTTGTGACAGTCCAGAGCATTCTGCTTTCCTGTTGTTGTTTTTATCTATTGACTTCAAGTGCTAGTTTCTTCCTGTCCCGTTCTTTCTCAGCTGGAGTGTGCGCCCAGTTTCCCTCGGAAAGAGTTTTAAGAAATAGAGATGTCAATGATGTCTCTCATTCTTCCTTTAGCAATGTTTATTGAAATATTTTTAAGTTGCAAGTACTGTAAATATGATCTATTCCAAAAATAACAGTGGGAGAATAAAATGTATCTAAAATTAGGATACCATGTTTGTCTCAAGGAAATTTGATGTTGAATTATTTTTTAAAGTAAAATAAAGCACATAACTCTGATAACTCTATTATTTGATTCACAGTCACGATTACAAGCTGCATGAATGTAAAGAGTGGAGAGACATAACCAACAACACAGGCATGAATCCCATTGACAGGATTGACATAAAGACTGACACTGATGGGGTGATTAAGGCAAGTTTGTTTTTTAAGGGAAACTACACTAATCACTTTGTTCAAAATGTCTGCTATGATACTTTACTATTGAGGACATATTGCACATATATTTAAAGATATATGTGTAATGTTCATGCATTTGTCAACTAGACAAAAATAGTAAAAAATCTGACAAACATAAAAAAATATCCACGAAGAGGTAGATGAGCAGATTTTTGTATAATACTTTAATAATTACAATATACTGTAATTTAGGTATTTTTTGCATGTGGGTACCCTTCAAGATTACATTTATTGAACACATAGTTTCTGCCTGTCTTCATCTCTGCAGAGCTGTGTAATGAGGAACCAGTGTAATGAAATGACCATTTTTCTAGTTAATAAAATGCAAACAAACATTGTAGAAGTTTTTCAAATTTGCAAAATTGTGTTTTAATATAATCTAAAGAATTATTCTGATCCAGTCCATGTTATCTAATCATACTGAATCATATTTTTGCTCACATTTGCATGAAGCAGTGTAATCTGGAAAATAAAAAAAACAAATATACTGTATGTCTCCTATGAAGTTACCATGCTTCAGTGCAGCACTCACTTTACACTGAATGTTTAGCTTTCAGTTAACCAGAAGCCAGGTTTCAATGACCTCCAAGTGGTCTATGGTCTGATGATAAATATACACTCTTCATCTAAATGTTTCTGTTTAAAGACAGATCAAGTTTTTAAAAATATATTAATAAATAGAACTGAATGATGACAACCGTGCCCTGGTGTGGGGAGGCAGCCAGTGACATAATTGTCAATCTCTCTCCCTTTGCCGGCACCACAGAATATAGTCACCTGGTGACTCGAAGCACCTGGAATCAGTTTGCACTCTAGGTCACCACATTCCAGGTTGTCCACAGAATACTGAGACCAGACAGAGACACTGGGCCCCTGAGCACCGATTCAATGTTTATTTCCATGCTCTGCTATCACCCCTCAGCCTGAGGTAATAATTAGCTCTAACAGTTTAATTGGAAGTTCAAATCAAAAGATAAAAAGAAGACACTGACTCCATCAGTGTTTGATGGTGCTGCTGCCATGCTGCTTTTAATCTCTGTGATCCCCTATTCCCTTTCTGTTGAGGTACATTACATCTCTGTATGCATATTGCATATGAACGGTTTCTTTACAGTCTCAATATGGTTAAGGTCTGGTTCTGTTTGTTGCACACAGACTGTGAGCACCCTCAAGATTCAGACAGCACATGTTCCAGCCATGTACAGATGTCGGGCCTCTAATAAAGTTGGTCAAGATGAGAGAGTGATTGTCTTTCATGTAACAAGTGAGTACCCCATCTTACCAGCATTATCTCATTAAAATAATCACTTCTTAATGCACACGATTGATGAATGATTAAATTCTTGTTCAAAGTATTAAAAATTATACAACCATTACTAGCAAAGAGAAACTGGAAAATACAAAAATTATGTGGGCTCCATTTTTGTTGCCACCAGCCAGCAATACCTTTGCAGCAGCTCCCTGTCTCATTCCCCATTAAAGGAGGGAGGGGGTGTTCCAACATATCCATCTTTACAAATGGTGGTTATTCTCATCAGCAAAATTCATTACCAAAATTAACCTCACTAAGGAGGTAAAGCATCTTTAACCTTCAATGATTCAGTGTTGTTTTTATATATATACAATACTAGAAACTTCTCTTTCTGGTTAATGAAGCAACAAAGATATTCAACAACAAAAGAAATGCTGAAACTTTAGAGTACTTTTGGATCTTATTAATCTGTATTCATGTTATTTAATATCTGTTTCTGCCTCAAGTTTAGGATTAGGGTTAATTTTGTAACAGAATTTTGGTCTATAGTCATACTGATCATGTCTAGATTTTTGTTTGTTAATGATTTTGATTATACACATCTCAATTTTGACTTGAGATAACAGTGTGCTGAATAAAAATACATTTATTCCACACAGGCTTTTGCTGCATACTATTGAACACTGTAAAAGTACTGGTCTGCAGAAGTCAGTACTTTATCTGCCACCATACTTTCTTGGTTTCATACTTATGTGCTGTATTAAAGCTTAAATGTATTCTAGCTGTTTTTGAGATACTGGTTTTATACAATATATATTGTTAATTTCATGTGTATAAAAAATGCCTTGGCGTTGGATGACTTTGTTTTCCATTCTAAGGTTTTTACTTCCTAACTTTATTTACTCGTAAGGTATGAATATGATAGCTCACGCAAGAGCCATTCCAGAGTCACCTTACTGAGAACAATTTCATTGTTCATTTGCAGGGGGACTGGAGCTGAACCTATTACCTACAAGTGAGCCCATAGAGAGGGACAATGTGGCTCTGCAGTGCAAAGCTGACAGGCTGATCTATGGGAACCTGAAGTGGTTCAAGATGAAAAGCAACAACTTCCAAAGAGGTCCATCTATGCAACCTTGCCAGCGCCTTAACCTTTCTGAGCAATCCCATCTCAAAGGGACTCTATCTGAGCCAGGCGGAGCGAAAGTCACTCTGGAGCTGGACTTGCGCAACGTGTCCCATAAGGATCAGGGACTATATGTATGTCAGGTGGAGAACACAAAAACTAAGGAGAAGACCTGTCTCATTAAACACCTCTTCCTGAAAGGTGAGACTGTTTATATAGTATATTTGATATTTTCAGCAGGTAGAATCACATATCATTCAGACTAATACAACTTGGATATGCAGGTTTTTATCTTGCTTTCTTAAACACAACATTGTGATGCTTAAAGCTTACAACTTTTTTTTAAGATTGCAATACAGTATATGTAGTTTTACACGACACCCTGTCTCATCCTTCTTTGAAAAACAGCAGGCCAAATGGCCCCAATCCTATGGACAGGGTGTCAGTCTGTTGATTTCCCCCATTTATCCTCATTATTCAAATTATGCCTCTTAGGGTTTGACTGAAAAATGACAAAACAAACATTAACATGAAATAAACACAATGTTTACTCATACTGTTTGTTGTTTTAAATGCCTAGCCAGTTACTTGAGGACATTCAACTGAAAAAGTACAGGTAATTAGGTTGCCTTGATGCTGCTGGTTTACAAGTTGAACTGATGCACACAAGAAGGGTATTGCCATAGAGCACAAGTAATAGTGTGGCCTGAAAATGTACAGGTCTTTTGTCAAGCCTACATACTTGAATAAGAGTGTTGTGTGCCTTTATGTTTTTTTTAGAGTGCACTGAATTGACAAACTATTTTCTAGATCCTGCACATGAACAGCTAGAATTTTTCTTTGTAAATGAGACTAAGTTGCAGGATACAGTTAGAGTTGTATGATTTAGGAAGGAAGGAAGTGAGAACATGTTTGTGCCAAAGAGTTAGTCCACTCCTTTCCTTTATTTGCATAATATGGAGTATTTTATCCATATTATCCATAGTTTTATCCAAATAAACTATGCTGCCTTTCACTCTTATTCTTCTTCTGGTTTACACTTTAGATATGTCTTCAGTGTTTATGTGTTTAAGTAGGACTCAACGTTCAAAACATAAAGCCCTATTGCTTGCTATGAAGATTTAATGTGAAGTATTTTTGAATGTACAACCCACCATCGAGTGAATGCAAACACAGTAGAGTGATATAAGTAATACATTAAAATCTAGAATATATGGTATTAGGATTTACCATAGTTAATTAGGAGAACACGCTGAAAAAATAGATGCTTTCTTATGTATAGTGACAAAAAAGCCCTGCATCATTAAAGTTTAAATACAGCAGATTTCAGTGGAATCTGGATGACTGTTACTCTTATTTACATTTATGGAATTTATGGCAAGGGAGTACTTTATTCTCCTCTTGGAAGACTGATCTAAGATTACATGTTGTTGTATTCAGGAGTTTATGAAGCAGCAAATAAGTTTGACTCCTTGCTTATCTTGCAGCTCTTCAGGCCCCAAAGATTTTAACAAATTTGACTGACCATATTGTGAATATCAGTGAAACTATTGAACTGAAGTGTGTGGTTAGTGGATCACCTAAGCCGAACGTGTCATGGTTTAAAGACAACAAGGAACTACAAGAGCGCTCTGGTAAAGAACACTTTTTTTGTTTTTTGAATTTGTTTAAAGCAAGATGTACCATTCCTTTTCTTGCTCCCATACAGTTTAAATTATTTCTTCCAGGCATTGTTCTTGCTCAGGAGAATAGCATTGTCACCATCCAGAGAGTGAAGAAGGAAGATAGTGGCATTTATACCTGCATGGCTTGCAATGACCAAGGGTGTGACTCCACAGTGGCTTCTCTTTTTGTAGTAGGTAAATGTGGATTAACATCTTCTAAATATCAGAGACAAAAATCACAAAACTCTTTCGATGTATCATAATAATGGTAACAGCTTTACCATTTTAAGTTGTTTGTGAAGCATGGATTGTGGATTCCAAAGTCCAACATTGTTATTTAATTTTTTATTACTTTCTTTTTTCAGTCATTTTCTATGATGTGTTTTTGTGTTTCTCCACTCCATTAAAAAATAAAGTGTGGTCCTGAAAATGTATTTACATAAACAGATTTACTGAATAGCAAAATTATGCGATAATCTCAAATAAAATCCCAGAAACATCCATCACATACCAGTATATGTCGCACTCACTATGAAATCACTATGAAATTGGTCAAGACTTTTATGATTTATTATAGGAAATGTATGACAAGTATAACCTTGATCATTAATATGTCGCTATTCTGGGTTGAGCAGGAGCTGAAGAGAAGACTAATGTGGAACTCATTGTCACTATTGGCTTTGTGGTGATTGCCATGTTCTTCTGGTTGCTTCTAGTCTTCGTCTTCAGAACCAGAAAGAGGGTATGAAACTTTGCCTTTATTGCTAGACTGCATGAGTACCTTGCAAACTGACCAGACTTCTTTTGTATTGAAACTCTTCTTTGTCTAAACCAATAGACACATTTCTCTTTTTAAAAGAACCTGCATTCTAACAACAATATAATTTACTCTTAATTAAATCGCTCTTTAAGACATTACCAATTATTGTCAGCAACTGTATCAACCTGAAACTCACAAATGGGAAGCCACTGAAGATCAGCAGGTTTGAGCCAGGTATTCAGTACCTGGATGGGAGACCTCCTAGGAAAAGCCAAGGTTGCTGCTGAAAGAGGTGTTAGTGGGACAAGTAGGGGGCGCCCCCCTTTGTGGTCTGTTGGGTCCTAATGCCCCATTATAGTGACGGGGACACTATACTGTAAAAAGGCACCATCCTTCAGATGAGATGTAAAACTGATTCTCCGTGGTCTTTACAAATCCCCGGGCACTTCTCAAAAAGAACAGGGGTGATAGCCCTGGTGTCCTGGCCACATTTCCCCCTGGCCTTTACCAGTCATTGCCTCCTGATAATCCCCATCCCTGATTTGGTTACATCCTCTGCTCTCCTCCTCACTGAGAGCTGATGTGTGTTGAGCAGACTGGTGCACTATGGCTGCTGGCATATCATCCAGGTGGGGCTGCACACTGGGGGTGGAGGGGAGTTCCTATTACCTGTAAATCGCTTTGAGTGGAGTGTCAAATAATGTGTAAGTTACACTTTAATATACAGTAGTTACACTATAGAAGTTTAAGGAACTGGTATTAATTAATGTTTCTTTAGTTTTCTTTAAAAAACACAAATAAAATACTGTAATTGTGCTATGCACACATGCATGTTTAAAATAATGAGACAATGGCAAAGTTTGTTTAATTCTGGGACGTGGAATGAAAAGCTTGTTGAATTGTAGTGACCCTCACTTCTATCAACATCCCAAAACATACAGTTCACATATCTGGATGTTTAATTGTTTTTCAGCCTAGTAGAGGGGATCTAAAAGCAGGCTACCTGTCAATTATAGTTGATCCAGATGAAGTGCCAATGGATGAGCAGTGTGAAAGATTAACTTATGACGCCAGCAAGTGGGAATTCCCACGTGATAGGCTTAAACTAGGTGAGCTGATTACTACGTATTCTCATTTTTACCTGTGGCTATAACCTTGCTTAACAAATTATTTTTTTGTGCATGTATAATATATGTGTGTTATTTATTTTGTCTGCTGATATAAAACAAATTGCCCCTTGGGGAAATTAAAGGTTATCTCTCACAAGAACATTAAATTGAATGTGAGTAATTGTTTTAATTGTTTTAATGTCTGATAATTTTAGGATTATCTTAATTATGCAGATAGATCTGTGATGTAGTTCTAATAGAACTGGCTGTTCAGTTTCATTTTGCAACTAAACCATTGGGAGAACAAACTGCCCCTTGTGAGTAAGTGGGGGCCTACTAGTTTCACATAAATAATTATGAAATTATTATTTTTAATAGTTGTGCACAGGAACAGAAACTTGCACTATTTATTAGAGAACATAAAGTTGGCTATTTGTCTTGTGCTGTCTTGCGCTGTTAGGAGTACATCTGGGCCGTGGTGCTTTTGGTCAAGTAGTGGAGGCGGCTGCCTTTGGCATTGAAAAAGCCACCACCTGCACAACAGTTGCTGTGAAGATGCTGAAAGGTGAGATTGTTTAGCAGCTCAATAAAGGAGATGCCTATTATTGTATTTGAAATTTACAATAATGTAACTTTCTTTTTTTACAGAGGGTGCTACTTCTAGTGAATACAGGGCCTTAATGTCAGAGTTAAAGATTCTGATCCATATCGGCCATCACCTCAATGTAGTTAACTTACTTGGGGCTTGTACCAAACCAGGTGGTGAGTATCTGCCCTTTCTTTCCCTCTCCCATGGCACTCACTGTAAAATCAAACAATTTTCTAAAAGAAGATCCTACTATGTACTGTAGATTTTTGGAGAATGTGTTTTTGTGCTGTTTAATGAAGGTATATATTTATATACTTAGAAAGCATACTCACATTTAATTAAACACCTGTTAAAAGACATAGAAGTGATTGTCAATGTGGCAAACATCTCCTTACACCAGAGGTTTTTTTCCAGGTCCTTTGATGGTTATTGTGGAATACTGCAAGCATGGAAACCTCTCCAGCTACTTAAAAAGCCGAAGAGGAGAGTACAGTCCTTGCAAGGTTAATAAGTCATTTTGCATTCTTCTAGCTAATGAGCATGTTATTTTAGTGATGTAGAGTACTTCATAATTTATTGATCTTCTCATAAATTTGTGCAGTTTATTTGTAGGTGCTATTTTTTCTCTACTTTTCTTTGAAAATGTATGCTTTAAATGCTGTTGTTTTTTTATGTTTGATTTGATGAACATATCTGAACTCTTTTAGATGTTCACTGATTTAAAATGTGTAACTCCATATTTCTGAATTTCTTTCCTGGTCCATAACTTTTAAATTTCCTGTAGTATATATTTGTTTCTTATTATTGCTGTTGTATAAATTGGAGACATACATAAAACCTGTAAGATTTTGTAAGGTTTTATTCTGATGCAGATATTGGACTGTGGAAAGAGGTATTGATCACTTAGTTATACACATGGTGCAGCATTTATTCATACTGATACCTTACTTCACCAGAAAAAGACTTTGAAATCAAAGCAGTCAAGAGAAAGGGCTTTGGTTGAACTGGATTCAGAGATGAAGCATCATGTGGACACAGTCACCAGCAGAGGGAGATCTGTCAGATGTGGACTTGCAGAAGAAAGATTCCTTGGTGAAGTAGAAGAGGATGAAGGTATAGTATTATTATGTTATTATCATCTGTGGCAGCATGTTTCAAAGTCAACATTACTCTGTTTTCTTATACAAGATTAACCAAATGTTGCACAGAACTACCACTTCTAATATGAGATGTACAGAATTTCTAGTATAAGGAAGACTGTGTATAATTTAATTGAACTTGTATATTAATCACATAATTCTATCAATGTTGTGTTTTTTATATTCAACACACTGGTAAAAAGCCAAAGTGTTTCATAAGGCATTTAGCCAGCCCTTTTTTTATATGTATAAAACTCATGATACAGACCTGGGGAAAATAATTTAGATTTTTTTATAGGTGTTTTCCCTTTAAATATGAAACATCATTCTCATATTCAATGATTTTCTCACTACAGCAACTGAGAAGACTGACAAGACATTCCTGACTATGGAGGACCTGATCAGCTATAGTTTCCAGGTGGCCAAGGGGATGGAGTTCTTGTCCTCTCGCAAGGTAAGAAACACTTTCATACCACATAGGCAATTTTCTGATCCAGAATATAGATGTGGCATCGTTTGGTAATTGTATTATCTGTCAAATAATTAAACCTGTCTCGATTTTTCAAATATTTTAATATTTTTATCAACATAATGATTAAAGTCTTGACTTCCACTATTTTAAAATTGAAATACATTAATTTCCCTTTTCGGTCGCAACTCTTCTCAGTGCAAGGTGCTGGATAAAGTTTTACTTGCACTTAAAATGCAAGTAAAAGTTTTTTTTGTTTCAGTGTCAGGAATAGAAATACAGCTCCTCTGCATGCTTAAAGGACAATGTTGCTATTTCATTGCTCTGGAAGTGAAGTGAGATGTCCAGTTTCTCTACATACGCTAATATTTCTACCATCTGTATTAAGTGGCTAGGCATTTGATAATGCAGTCGAAAAATGTCCCTTGTCCCCTGTCCCCTGTTTGCAGTGCATCCATAGGGACCTCGCAGCTCGCAATATCCTCCTGTCCGAAAACAATGTGGTGAAAATCTGTGACTTTGGCCTGGCTCGGGATGTCTACAAAGACCCCGACTATGTACGGAAAGGAGATGTAAGTGACTGTCAGTGGATAATGTGTCATTTTATTATTATTTAGTACAGTATTATCATTTTGTAGTGCAGTACCTCTTAGTGAGTAAAGCATTTTCTACTTTTGGTATTTTATTTTTAAAAATAAAGGTCTAGTCACTCAATACATTAGTAAATGGCATGACATATCACAGAGAAAAATGAAAGTAACACAGAACTTATACAGTATATGCAAAAGTCTATTTCATTCACTAATTATTCAGGCAGTCCTTTCAGCAATATTGAAGACAAAAATGACCTTGTTTAATTCTGCAAAACAACTCTTATGTGTTTGTCAACTGGGTATTTACTTAAATGTATAAAGCTTGATATATGAGCATAGGTATTTGGGTTAATAAAGCAAATTAAAGGGGAAATGCAACATTTTTTTTTCATGTTTCGGGGTTAGAAAGATTTATGAAAGATAGAAGTTCATTTCAAACCACAATAAAAGTAAATAGTACACCGTAACTTGTAAAACATCCAATTTACATCACAAAATAGGCAAAATTTCAATTATGTGCAGCACCATGTTCTGTGATTCAGAACGAGGCAACAAAACGTCCAGTGACTTGTTGCAGTCTAATCACATTGTAAACAAAGACTTGTTTAACTTACTTGTTAACTCTTTACTTGTTAAATTAAAGTTACTTGTTAACTCTGCATAACTGTGTCTACTGCACAACATGTATTTATTCACTTGTACATCACATTACATTAGTCATGACAGTGACTAGTGAGCAGGAAGGGACTAATCGTGTCACAGTTTGTGGGAACTCGACTGCTAGTTTGCGACAACATGGGGACTTACAGTACTTTCACAAAGTTCACTATTTTGTGTTTTATCCAGAATTTGTATTTTTTTCTATAACATCAATGAAGTTTATTCTATTACCTAGATTTACAGTAATAACTGGTCTGAGAAATGTGGACTGCGGTGGACTAACAGTTATTTCTTTACCTCAAAAGGCTCGGCTTCCTCTCAAGTGGATGGCCCCAGAAACAATCTTTGACCGAGTCTATACAACACAAAGTGATGTCTGGTCATTTGGTGTGCTTCTATGGGAAATCTTTTCTTTAGGTGAGCTCTTTATAATTATAAAGTTAAAGATTTTCGTTTTTTGGATCAGTGCAACATTCTAATCTCATTTTATGTTTTTATTTTATTGTGATAGGAGCATCCCCATATCCTGGAGTGAGCATCGATGAAACTTTCTGCATTAGGTTAAAAGAGGGTACTAGAATGAGAGCACCTGACTATGCCACTCCTGAGATGTAAGTGTTTTCTAATTCAGAACCCAGTGAGTGTCAAGGTAAAAAAGCCCCAACTTGTGGCATGATGTGGTAATAATGCCAGGGTGCAGAGCTTCATTTATTCCTGTGTTTGAAAGGGTTTTGTTAAAGCACCTGTAAGAAGGAGTGGAATTTGTCTAGTATGTATTAACATAAACATCTGGTCATTCTTGAAAAGTCTGAATTGTACTTACAATGAACACTACTACTGTAATATATTCAATAATGACAGAACAGCTATAATAAATGGGGAAAGAAGCTTAACGACAAGATAATACTATACTGTATACTGTACACCATTGACTAAGTTTGGATGTTTTTTTATCAGATATCAGACTATGTTGGACTGTTGGCTTGACAATCCAAAGGACAGACCCACGTTCACTGAATTAGTGGAACATTTAGGAAACTTACTTCAAGCAAATGCGCAACAGGTACAAGAAAAGCTCCCTCCTCTGTATTCTTTCAGTAACAAATCTTTTAATATGGCTTATATATGCTTTTCTATTACCTTGTTTCACAGAAATCATTGACAAATCATCATTGACATATATTGTTTTTTTAAAAACTCTAGGATGGTAAGGATTACATTCCGCTCACATCAGTCCATACAGAGGAGGATTTTGGTATCTCACTGCCTAGATCACCTGTTTCCTGCACAGCAGAGGAAGACAGCAGTGACCCTGTGTTCCACTATGACAACGCTCCAGGGTTCAGGTCAATATTATAGCTGGACACAGCTGGTAACATAAATTATGGTACACTGCCATAAGCCTGAAAAAGTCATATTTTTTAAGAAAGAACAAGAATTCAGATCTTGACCATGGCCTCACTGCGTATATCCTATGAAATATGGTTAAGTGATTAACATATCTCAACAAATATAATCAATAGGTGATGTTAATAGGCTTCCTAGAATTTCATGATACCAGGAGATGCTATTCTGCATCCATACAGTACGTCTTGTAACAGAAATCACTCTTCGTTGTCGCTGATAACTGTAGCTGAGAGCTCTTCTTCCTCTTATCTTAAATAATAGTTGAAAATCAGAATTCCAGTCACAAACAAACAGTAAAATGAGTTCCAGTGCACAGTTTCTGGGTCAAAAGTTATTGCCTTCCTGAAATGGGGCAGAACACAGAAATTTAAGATTTACAAGGAGATTTGTGATTTGCCCCATGAAAATGTGTAGATCCCTGTGCAACTGCACTAATGGCACTAGCTGCACCAGCTGTTGCTCCATCACTGTTCATGGAAACAATGAGATCTGCACAAGCTGCTTGAGGCACTATCTTTGAGAAAAACAAAACAAGAAGGGGTTTATTTTCTGTGAATATTAAAAGTTCAATGGAAACAAATCTAAATGTTTTGCTCTTTGGTCTGGTTGCAGGTATACCCAGCAATGTAACAGAAGAAGTCGACCAGTGAGTGTGAAAACATTTGAGGATGTTCCTGTAGAAAAAAACCCTGTATCTGTAAGGATGTCTTAATTTCTACCAGTTTAACTGTACCTTAAACACATGAAAAGTGCAAAAGATACTGTTTTGCTGCGTCACACGTTGCTTGGCATGTGTACCCGAATTCTATTTTGTGTCACAGCCGAAAAACATTGTGTTTTCTCTCTTCTCTTTTCAACATGGAATAAACCTATTACTTGTTCCTTTGCAGACTACACATGCTGACGCAGCCACCCTTCTGAACTATTTTTTTTGTGTATGCTAGTATTCATGTTTCTTACTTGTAGACACAAAATTCAAACTTTCAATGCAATGAGTTCCAGAGCAATGGATCCCAGGTTTACTCCTTTTGGATTTACTGACTTACTGTCCAAGCTTTTGATGCTTGGACACGTGATTTGTTTACAAAAGGTTGATCTACTCTGGACTTACATTTTTCCCAACTACTTCATCCTACAGGACAGTCAGACAGACAGTGGGATGATTCTTCCTTCAGAAGAACTGAAAAGCCTGGCACCCCAGCCCACTCAGTCATCCCCTTTTAGGTGAGCTTTCAGTGTCGAAATTTCGAATAACTGATTAATAGTACAATGATTATTCTGAATAAAATACAGTATGAATTATGATACAAAAAACACTGAAAGAAATATTTTCAGATAAAAGCATAATCTTTTATTTAAATCTTTAACGATGAAATAATGTTTTCCACAGCCCTATGGTTCACTGCAAAAGCAAAGAATCTGTGGCTTCGGAAACATCCAATCAGACCAGTGGCTACCAGTCCGGATACCATTCTGATGACACAGACACCCCATTGTACATGAAGGAGGAAACAGAGCTGTTTCAGAAGCAAGAAGATCCTCACATCTGCTGTGGGTCTCCTGGAAAATACAGCCCTATCGTACGTTATAGTGCTCCACCAGTGTAGTGGGTCACTTCTAGCCCTTGGAAACACAAGTTTGTGAAGGACAAAACAGAGACACTAGTAGATGGAGACAAGATGTTACTACTTGTGTTCTTTGGGAGCCCACCTGTGTCTCCATGCAGGTTTGTGCTTATTTTTCTGCATTAAGTTCACGATGAAACATCAAGACCAAAGTACTTGAGAGCTAATATGCAAAATCAATATTCCTTTGTTTTGCACATTCCCCATGACCTGTGAGCACTATGTTGCCATAAAAAATGGGTAATCTTTAGTGACATTGCAGAATAAATAGTTTATTTCAGATTCTTGAATCATGGAATCTGGTTTAAAAAGCATTAGACCACATTAAGTTCACCATGTTCAGAGCAGCCCTGTTAGTTTTGTTTCTGTGTCTTTTTTCATCCAGGGAAAATGTACTTTAAATAGGGTTATTTTGTTTAAAGCTTTTTTTATTATTGGTTTATCATATGAAGTGTGCTTGAGTTTAAGGCCTTGGGACCAGTGGGGCATATTTTTTTTCATAAAAAGAAATGTAATATATTATGTAGCAGAAAATAAATATATGCAATTTGCTTTATGAGGACTTTATTTTTCAAGTGATAAGATATGCAATAATGTTTGTGTTTGTATTTCACAATAAATAAAAACTGTGAAGGAACCAAGCAGATAAAATATTCACACGCAAAGCATGCGTTCAGAAAACAGTATCAATTTTTTATTTTATCTTAAGGTGTATAAGCCATCACTGCTCTACTCCTTACTTTTTGAAATATCATGTAAGGCGTTCCTAAATAAGACATTAATTTGTACAGTGGGCTGAGAGTACTGCGGGAGAAGAAAGGCTAAATGTTATATTAATTAGTTTTTTTTTGTATTCTGAATTATAATAAATAAAATTAGTTTTATAATAAATGCATTTTTGTTCAAATCAAAGGTATTGTATTAGGTGTTGTACACTTAATATTATGTCTACAGAAAATGTCAATGCTGTCACGCCCTCTGCAGCCAGAGGGTACTCCTACTCTGTCCTGTCCCTAGTTTCCTGCCTGTCGTCCTTCCGGTCCCTCTCTTTCCCTTGGGCTATATAGTTCCAGGTCTTGCACTCTGCCCTCGCTCAGCATTGACGTTCGGATGTCCTAAGACCCGCCTAGCACCAGGGCGCCCCACGTCCGCTCCCTGAGGGCATAGGTTTCTATACGGCACTCCTGAACTCTTTGCACTAACGAGCCCGGGCCTTTTTCCCATCTCGCCGCTACGCATATGGGTCTTTTTCCGCTCTCCTGCCTCTCCACGGTTAGTCCCTTTGGACGTCCGTGACAAATGCAGTCCTGAAAAACATATTGACATCTGCAAAGCACAAAAGAAATGTAATAAATGTCCAAACAAATCTTTTGATGTTCAGAGATTGAACCAAGACTATAAGTGTGACTGAACCTATCTAGTTTTAGAACAGGATCATTTTTAATTCCAGCGGGGTAGCATGTGTCAGCAAGTACCAAGTATCATGGAGAGTGAATGATGGCAGGACAGACAAGGTTCCTGACACTGTTCTGGGACTCTTAGCTGTTACAACTGTGAAATTTTAAATGTATATATTTCTCTTTCAAATCATCATTGAATGGGAATTCGTCTAAACATTTATATTAAAATACACACACTTTCAGTGAGGAATACAATTGTCTGTATGAGGTTTTCACACTATGATACCAACTGTATATAACGGGTGTAACAGAGTGGAATAACAAACTGAATCTAGTCTGTCTGCCCTGTTTAAACACATTTAAGCTTACACATTTATATTCTACAACAATAAGAAGTGTTCTTAATGTTAATCATTACTCATTACTTGTTACTCGTCACTCATTATTTAAAGATGCATTTTAAAAGAAAACGTGAACATGATTTAAATTGATACATTGCATTAGAACTTCTGTGGACAAGTCCTTGCTAAACTTCTGATGAGGAAGCATAGAACATTAAATGGGATGCTTCCCTACACAGCTCTGTTGTCAATTGAGGTTAACAATTACAACTACAGCATTGTGAAATTGATTCTTCCTAAATCTGGAATCAAAAGGAAACACGACAGGTTGGGATTTGTTTATATGCCTTTTATTATCATTTAACAATTTATATCTAAAATAGACATGAAGGGTTAGGGTAAGGGCATATTGGTCTCTTTAAAATAAGGAATATATAAAAGAACAATAGCATTTTTATTATAGTATATGAAAACACATCTTCATTTTCTTGTCCCCTGTCTGACCACACTAAAACATAGCAGCAAGGAACTTACATAAGAAATTGCAAAATATGTTTTTTTTTATTTATGAAAACAGTGTATAAAGAAAGTAGTCAGGTAAAATTTGCTCCAACTGAGATTTATACACTGTTATAAAAATATTACACTTACATCACATTGTGGATAATTCTTCCTCTGCTCTCCTACCAAAAATACTTTGATACCTCCTGGGGGAAGTTCTGAAACTGGTTCTAAGCAAAGACATTACATTGTTTTATGTGTGTTTGAATTACTTCTTTGATAGAGCTCTGTTTATATCGTATTCTTCAGTTGCAGTTTGGTTGTAAAGACATCCTTAAGTTCACTTTCCACACTGAAACTATTCAAAACCTTATCTCCTCCATAAGTATTGCATTACTGATATATGCTGTGAGAGCTTGCATACAGTAGTACCAAGAAGCCCTTGGAATCTGCCTGAACAGCTCAATTAAATCTGTTTATCCTCCTTCTTCTCATTAAAGGAAGCACACTGTCTTATTTGAAAAACAGAAAGGAATTCATCTTGCATGAATTTTAAAAAATAAAAGAGCTGAAATTGTCCTTCTTGAATTTAAAAGATTGTCCTTTTTTCTTGCCTCATCCATTTCCTCCGGGTTCCTCTACTTTGTTTTTATACTTTCTTAAGGGTAACTTTTGAAAGAAGTTGTTTCCAAAGCCCAGATAAATGAAAAATCAGTTTTAAGTCACACTCTTATTTTTTCAAAACTGATTTTCAAAAATATTTTTCCTATATTTGACAGGTCACTGCAACATTTTACATACTTGTTTATTCCAGTGCAAAATGTTTCCCATACTATATTGTACTGTGGTTTTGATCAAGGACAACACTTTTTAATTATAGACCACTGAAGGAAACAGGCTGAGGTTTTAAAAAATCTATGTGTTTCCCTTCTTCACATGCACATTCATTGACTAAATATAGGCAGAACAGAGACAAGGCAGGATGGAGTTTCCTGTGTCTAAGTAGGGGAGGTTATATGGAAACAATTATTAAGCAGTGAGTATAGTGATGTACAGTACTTGCATTTTGTTCCCAACAACCTGTTCGTTGATACTATTGTATTCCATTTCTTGCAGTTGCCTCCCTAGGACAATACTACAGTATGTGAGGACTTACAAACTTCTTTTTGTGAAAATTTTAGTAATTAGAAAAGTAATTCAACTAAATTAAATTTGAAAAAAAAAATCTTAACATTTCTTCTTAATTTTTAACCATTTTATTCTAGCTATCTGTTAATCATCATAACTTCGAAACCATTTAGTTGCTATGTAAAATATGTATAGTTTATTTTTCTAAAAACATGCAGTGACATTTCTTTAGAATTGCTCATTACACTAAACTGTTCTGTTTAATTTAGAAATACCACATCCCTAATTCTTGCAAATGTTCCAGTTCTCCAACTCATTCCAAACTATCTCCAAACTATCTTTTTAAATACCCTTCTGTCCAGCTACTGTTCTTCACTCTTGTATTCTGTCACCCAGATTGCTAAATGCTTCACATTTTGAAAAAAACGTATTGTTTTGGAAATTCTTTTATATGACAAGTTTAAGAGTTTTTCAAAATGATCACAGAGAACTCCTTTTTGTTGGGAATTTTAATCATGCTGTATGTTTAGATAAAAGTACATCCTTAAATAACTCTGAAAACAAAGCAGTTTCACATTAATTTCCTTTGGTATTACTGCCCCGGGGCAGCATTGTGTAAAGTAACACAGGAAACCAAATGTAGCACCAATAAAGCAAGAAAGGTATTCACAATGTTTTCAGAAAGACATACAATATACTGTATAAACACTATACACTTGTTTAATTATTGCTTGGGAACAAAATCTTCTAATTCTTCAAATAAGAATATACGTTCTGATTATATTGAAATTTATATATTGATTTACAACCATTTTCTAAGACTATCATCCACTGCAGAGACACTGTTGTCATTTAGTTGGTTGATTTGTATGGTATAGCCGTAATCAGGTTTCACCAGCATTATTTCACAAATAAAGCCTGAAGGATAGTGACAGTGAGTCCACTGTAAGCCACCATGAAGTTACATGTTAGTAATGACAGTTTTCACTGAACACTTTATAAGCGATCAGATCTTAGCTCTAGAGTACACCATACACCACCTGGGGCGATGCTTTTGAAACCTTGATGTAAAGCTGTGTTAAAGCTGCCCGCAGAGAGGACTGCAAAAGCAATGAAGTCATCACTAGAGGCCTCCAAAAATAGCTTCAAAAGACTTTGTAAATAGTCAAAGACTATTAGACTATTAGTCAAATAGACTATTTACAAATATGAATTTTTAGTTTCACCTGTGTTGTTCAGCTAATTGTTTTGGAAATGTGGTATTCCCAGATGGGATTAATTAGTGGGCTTTGTGTATATAGGGGTGTGTCACTGTGGTGTAATTTAGAAATCCTTTTATAGTATATAAAGGAGTCTGAGAGCTGTTTAGACTTGCTTTTATGGGTTTTGGTAGTTGTCAATGACTTCAAGATACACCCAGGATTATTAGTTTAACCTTGAATTATTTTTTGTTAGGGCGCAGTTTGTGTCTGAAGACTCCTACTGTACATGTTACTCCAGTAGGGTATCTTCCACTTTGGGGAAAAAAAAGCAGCCTCTTGCTTTGTAGGATCTTAGTAGGAATACCTTTCAGTGCTTGATTATCGCAGATGTGGCACTTAATTTGTCAGCTTATACATTTTGTTTATAGTTTCATGTTGTACTGTAACTTTCAGTTGATTCTATCAATCCTATTTTCTCTCAGACAAATAATATATAAGTTTGATGTTCAATGAAAGACATGTCTCAATTTACAGGTACTTCAAAATTTAATATCCATCCATCCTGATTTTCTCAAATGAATGAATGGTGCAGGCTTTTCTCAAAACACTATCCACATTAAATGCAGTGCAAAAAAATGCAGTACTTTTGCTATTGTAACTTTGAAAGCAGAAAATGGTCTCTTTTTAAAACACAACTACCACATTTATGGTGTGTTGAATTTTAACAACTGTTAAAATTGTGTTTAAACATTAACATCTTGCATTTTAACGTTTTTTTTTGTCTGAAAGAAATGTGTTCTGTGCATCTTGGGCTTATGTTCTAAATCACTTCCTAGTGGCTGCTAAACAAAAGGTTTTATGAAACGACAAAAGCAAATGGTCACACTAGTAGACACCTGAATGGAAATCACATTTGTAGTTTCGTATATTGACTTGGTACAGTACAGTATATAATGGTAGTCTTCTACAGGACTACAAGA